CCTTCCAATATCACAGCAACACATTAGCCAGTGCAAGAGACAGAACGACAAGTGATGGACATTAAAGCAATACAGTTATCCTCCTTTCAATCTGCAGGCTCTCACCCCATCAGGCTATCTCTCCACATGGACACCCCCCTCACCCCGTTTGGACTCTGGCATCCCCAACTCAACTCCAGGGGACCGTGCCCTTTTCATTGCTATCTGCCTCATCGACTCATTTTATGACCAAGTTTTTCAGGAGACGTGAAGGAAGCCAAGATTAGATGCTATTTGAGATCACTTCCAACATCAACAAACACTCTGTGTTAAGTCGCTTTGGTTAAATATTTGCAAATTTATGCTCAGAAAATAGGGTTGAGATGTATTGAGATAATAGTGCATGTCTGAAATAACCTGAAGTAATGGCAGCATGAAGTACTGACTCTGGGGGATCTGGCACAGGATGCAGCAATGGGAGAGAAGTCCAGCTATGTTGGTCCACAACCCCCCACAGAAAAAAAGGAGCTACAGTGATGGCCAGGAAACAACAGATGCTGATCAGAGGAGCTGCGGCAAAACAACAAAAAGGTAATACTCAACAATACTAACCAGCAAGTGTCTTAACATAAAGCATCTAGACGGGTGATCCTCTTCATCAGATTGCTAGATGCTGTGAAACTGGTTTATCGTCTACCCAAGGCAAGATGATGCCAGGTCCCAACTAACTAATGCTATGCTGCCATCCATTGGTTGAATTTAAAATGCCTTGCTACCAACTAAAAGCACTTTGATATGTATAGTTTAAACACACAGAGGGCATCTGGGTTTGGGTTACAGGATGATCATTTGTTGATTGGTTATAATGGTAAATAAATGAATGATGGAAAATGACCAACTACGAGTATTTATTCATGCAATAAATTGAAGCCACTGACAAAGCCCTTTCTTGCTAATGCTAGACTGTCACCACCACTCATTTCTTTAGCTTTTTTTCTTTTTCAGACTTTATCATACTCTGATGCTTAAAACAGCATCTTATTTTCATCTTGATTGCACTGTTCCCTTGCTTCCCTCTAAAGTCACAGAAACACGAAGTGCATGTTCCTTAATACTTAGCTTCAGTTTGGACAAGTAGAACCCATGCTTTCAACCTTGCCCTCTCCAAGGCTTTAAATATCATGCATGCCCACTCCCCCTCCCCCACCACACACACACAACTAAGTATGTATGTATACATGTACATACCCATGTCTCTTTGGAGGATCCCTGGTGGCCCCGTGGGTGAGGTCATCAGCAGCTGGAAAACACCAGAAAAGTCGTTGGCGTCCATGAGCTCCACCGCATACCAGCCCCATGTGCATCAGAGTAGAACTGTGCTCCGTAGAGTTCTCTTCAGAACAATTTAAAATGTATTTGTCGTTTTGATGTTGAAAGACACACACCAAAACAGACACCAATTCAGCAGTTTCTGCATGTACAATTCAGTGATTACACGCGCCAAGTTGTGCATCGATTATCACCCTTCTGTTTAAAGTTATTTTTCTCCCAGTTAACATAAGCTCACTTCTCCCTAAGGTTCCTATCTAACCTTTCAAGCTTCTGTTATCAATTTCATATGATAGATAGATAGATAGATACAAGACTGATATATAATCCACTAAAAGAGCATAATGCTAAAGTTAGACATTTTTTAATAGTTAAGTAAAATTATTACTTAATTTCACATGACTTCAGGGGATATTTTTGGTTCAAAATTTAAAGCTGAGCTAAGGACAGTAATTTCAGGAGTATATTCAGCCTCCATGACTCCAAAAAATCTGAATTCTATGAGAATTTGGAACTCTGTTCTGCATTTCCTCCCTTTTGATCAGGATTATTCTACAGAATCTTTGATCAAAATATCCGGTAATGGTAGCCAAGCATCATCCCTTCTGGTCTTAAGGTAGAGGAGGCGTTTATTATGGAGGCACATTTTCCCTTTCTTACTCTTATTCCTGACTCTCCTTTGTGGCTCCAGGCATAGAGCATCCGATGTTTAATGCCTCGAATGACTGTTGGCAAGCTTTTAAAATCACAGGCCCTGCATCATACTATTGTATTAAGCTGGGTTTCTAAAGAAATATATTATTGTAAGAGCAGGCAAGTTCCATGCCTGTGAGTCAGAGATTAAGCTGAGGCATCTCTTGACTTGGGTTGATGAGCCGAAGATCAGCAGGAAAACAACAGGCTTGTTTCTCAAGGAGCAAATGAATCCGAGGCAGGTAGTTAAGTTTGTAGCTTCAGACTTGAATTAATCCAAGACCCAGAAGGAAGAAAAGCAAGCAAGCTTTTCCACAGCATCTACTTATGTTGGAAGCAGGCCACACCCTTGAGATCTCAGCATGGAGGATTACTAGGTCTTAACCACCAAACCACTGGGAATCCTGGCCCAGCCAAGTGGACACAAACCTTACCTGTCACTGCTATGAAATAGGAGGCAGATCAGGAACACTCAACACCTTATTGGGCCAGTTCATGTAGATGTTCCATGAAACCATGACCCCAAATCTCTAAACCAAAGAACCCAAACCTATGAGGTTTGGGGTTGTACATAAGCAGCCTCAGTAATTATTCTTTTTCTATTGGGGGGCCTGGGAGGTCATAATAGTAAGTCTATCTATCACACAACTTTTGCCAGTTCAATTTTTTACAGGTGAATAACTATTGACAGCATTTAGATGAATCATCTGTGCAACCCTTACAGTATGAGTTTTCACCACTGTACACTGAAACTCAATACTATGGTGTTACAATGAACATTGGTGTACATGTCTACAAGTCTCCGTTTGAGTCTCTGCAGTTAAGTCTTTGGGTTATATAGCTAGGAGTGGAGTTGCTGGATTATAGGGTAGTTCTAGTCTGAATTTTCTGAGGACCCAGCACACTGTTTTCCACAATGGTTGTACCACTTTGCATTACCACCAGCAGTGATTAAGGGTTCCAATTTCCCCACATCGTTTGCAAACCTGTGTTATTTTCTGGGGTGTTTTTTTTTTTTTTTGGTATGTTTTATTTCAAGCACCTTTGTGGAGATTAAATGGTATATCATTATGGTTCTGATTTGTAGCTCTCTAGTGACTAATAAAATTGAGCATGTGTTTGGTGGACATTTGAAAGTCCTCTTTGGTTAAATGTAATTCAAATTATTTGCCAAGTTTATGATTAGGTGGTTTGTCTTTTTATTGTTAAATTATTGACATTTTATAGATATTTTGTTTATTAAATTCTTACCAGCTGATGATATTCTCCCAATCAGTAGCTATTTGGCAAAGTTTTTAATGAAAAAAATGCTTAATTTTGATGAGGTCACATTTATTTATCTTGTCTTTGGCTGTTTGTGCTTGTGTTATTATATTAGATAATATATCGATAAAAGCTAGCCCAATAACTTTGGGGTTTTGATGTCTTATTCAGAATTAAACCACTAGGCTTTTCTTCTAAGGCCTCTCTACATTGGATTAACAGCTGGGCAGATTAGCCATTTGAGGGACTCTGTGTCCTTAAAAGGCCCTTAAAATTTTGGAAGGTTGTAAGACAGGTAAATGAATAGCCAGCTCTAAGACGGAAGTAGAAAATGCCTTAAAGGAGATATAAAGTGCTGTAGGGGGTCCAGAAGAGGAGAGATTATATAACTCCCTGGAAAGGCTCCAGGTCTTAAAGGGCAAGTAGTCCTTGCACTGACAGGTACTGGGGATATAGGGCGACACAGGTGACGTGTAAATAAGACTGGATCGATAAGCACATAGAGAGATGAGCACTAGTTGTGTCCAAGGATGATGACACATTACTTTTTCATGTGTTGCATGTAATTCGATTACATGCAGAGTAATCGAATAAAATTGGAAAGTTGGGTTGGGAACATTCGGGAGGATTTGGAATGTGAACCTGGATATTTTCAATTCAAAAGATTTTATTGATGTAAATATATTCACACTGGCTTACTATCACAATTATTGGTATCATGTGGAATATAAGCAAGCGGTCCCTAATCTCAAGGGGGCTTATAGGAAAGCGTTCCAAGAAATATATGGAAAAAATAGAATTATGTAGCCTAAAATTATTACACAGCAATTCATTATGAAGCTATACTAACATTTCTCTAACCCTTTTCCTGATGTTGGATTTATAAGTTATTTCTAATAGTCTGCCATTGTAATACTGTTGTAACAAACTTCCTTTATTAATCTTTTTTTCACTATTTCAGATCTTTTTCTTTGGCTAAAACCTTATAAGCTTAACTGCTTTGATAGGATATAAAACATTTTAAGATTGCTAATACATGTTTAAATGAATCCATTTCTACTCACGCAAACAAACTCCCCGCCATGGGGTCCATTCTGACTCATAGGGACCCTTCCTAGAGGACAGGGCAGAACTGCCCTTGTGGCTTTCTGAGACCTCTGTACAGGCAGCTTTCTCCTGAAGACCAACTGGTGGTTTCAAACTTCTGACCTTCTGGTTAACAGCCCAGATTAGTAGTCTATATGGACTTGAATTCTTGTGCATGAGTGTCTTGTGGGTACTGCTAAGTATTAATCCATGAAAGACTACTGTTTTTAAGAACAGCTTAATCTTGATAAAAGCAACTTTAATAAGCTTCACTAAATATTTACAAAGCACATTGTATTGAGTGAAGCACTGTGTGTAACAAGCAGTGAGGGCAACAGAAAATGGTATTGGATGACTAGCCCATAATTGCCTCAAGGAAAGTATACTGTCTGGGCACCAAGTTCATACTTACTTCCTCAGTCAACACAATAGGGAAAGGAGGAAGGGATGGTAGGGAATCTGTAAACATGAAGAGAGAGCAAGCAAACCTCAAGGCTAATGTTAGAGAAATGACAACATCAGAAAACAAAAACAATAAAAGAGGACACTTTCCGGGATAACAAGACACATGAAAATCAACTAGTGCTAGAGTTGGGGCTTTACGAAGTCTTAAGTCTGCACAGAGATAAGTTGCATATTTGACCTTCACCATGATTAGCAAGCACTTCCTTGCGTTTGTGTTTCTGCTGCTGGCTTCCTTCACGATCGTCTCCCGAGAACTGAAACCAGTGCACTTCCAGCAAAGAAGAGTGAACAGAGAGAGCTTAAAGCTCTTGGGCACGTTGCCTACTTCTTTGATTCGGCAGTGTCTGCCACACAGGGAAAACTTCCTGCTCCCTCAGAAGGCCATAAACCCTCCTCGATGCAGCAGAGGGCATGCAGCGGCTGTTCTCCATGAGATGCTCCAGCAGATCTTCAACCTTTTCGGGGCAGATCAGTCTCTGAGTAGTTGGGATGAAAGCCTTGTGGAGAAATTCCTCGTTGAGCTTCACCAACAACTGGAACGTGTAGAGACGGTCATGGGGCTGGAAGCAGACCAGAAGAGTCACACCTTGGGTACTGAGAACATTCGATTGCAGGTTAAGATGTACTTTAGAAGGATCCATAACTACCTGGAAAACCAGAAATACAGCAGCTGCGCCTGGCTCCTTGTCCGAGTTGAAATTAATCGGTGCCTGTTCTTTGTTTTCAGACTCACGGAAAAGCTGAGCAACTAAGGAATGGACCCTTGAACCGGGTGATACATGATCGGACTGCAGGCCTTCAGAGCCTAGGGTAGATGAAGTCTGAGAGGGCTTCTCCAGACACTATCGCTCTCATTGCTTTTGTCAGAGGGAGGTAGGATTGCTTCAGCTATGTGTTTATTTATTTATTGGTTTTATTGGTTTTAAGATTAAAGATACCAACCACAATTGTTTTTATTTTGTAAGGTCAGTTGATATTTTCTATCTACTTTACGCTGCTAATGGACTGAAGTAGACTCATTAACATTTTGTATGTGGTTCCTCAAGTGGCTATATTATCCTAAAAGTTAGTGAGGGAGGTCTAATGAAATATGACTCCAAAATAGCAAAACTTTGCTTAGCTCAGAACATCCTTTCTATTGATTTCCTTCTTGGTGAACAATTGGAAGAAGCAATAAAAAAGACAAGTCATCATTTGCATCCCAAGGTTTTAAAGGATACATTGGATATTTACATCACAGGTGACACAGGGAAAATCTGCCCAACGGTATGAACAGACTGTGTCCAGGGGAAAACAACCATATGAACTGAAGTTCAACCTCAGAGCAATTAAAACATGCATTAAATCCGAGTAAGGTGCCATTTACAACCCATCATACTGGTAACGCACACATTTGGATAAGCAATTAAAAAATTATTCTGGATGCTTGGGAGGAAGGGCACTCTTTTTATTAATCATTTTATTGGGGGCTCTTGCATATCTCAGAACAATCCATAATTCAATTGTGCCAAGCACACTTGTACATATGCTGCCATAGTCATTTTCAAAAATTTTTTTTCCATGTGAGCCACTGGTATCAGGTCCTCTTTTTTCCCCTCCCTCCACCACCCTCCTGAATCCCTGATCAATCATATATTGTTGTTGTTATTTCATATTTTACACTGTCTGTTATCTCCCTTTACCCACCTTTCAATTATTCATACCCCTGGGGAGGGGGGATTTATATATCCAACCTTGTGATCAGTTCCCCCTTTCTCCCCCTCCCAACCTCCTGCCCCTACCCTCATGGTATCAATACTCCCCTTGTTGTTCCTGAGGGGTTTATCTGTCCTGGAATCCTTGTGTTGAGAGCTCTTATCTGTACCAATGTACATACTCCAGTCTATCAGCATTTATAAGGTAGACCTGAGATCATGATAGTGGTAGGGAGGAAGCATTAAAGAACTAGAGGAATGCGGTGTATTTTGTCAGTGTTATACTGCACCCTGGCTGATTCTTGGGAGGGATACTCTTATAACTTGCCTGAGCAGTGGAAATTGGCACCATCCTGGGGAGGCAACTTGGTGCTCTCTAAATGACAGATGCATCTGTCCTTGGATTCTTGCATTCTAGGTCTAGACATGTATCCTAATGGAATGTTTGTACAAGTGTGAAATGACTTAGGTATTGTGTTATTTATGACAACGTTGTTTACATTTTCAAAAGACAAACCACCACCCTAGTTCTTCTCATTGGAAAACCTAAAGGAAAGTGGGCAAAAAGAATGACCAGGCTCTGCCTGTGCTGAGTAAAAAAATACCAATCGACAAGACGGGCATTAACAGTAGGTGTGGAATGAGGTTTATCAGGGTTGAGAATGCAAAATGTTATATTTTCTTGTGAATTCATACACAATCTATAAGAAATCATAGGTAAGAAATAAGTGTTGATTGTGCAAGGAATTCGAGGGGAGGGGACGCAAGGAGATCAGCGTGGCGGACGCAGTCAGTTTTTCCTCTTGATTTTGAGCCTTGCGAATGTTCCAAATTAGAATAATGAATTCCCAATCATTTAACAAGAGCGATGCCAGGGTGGAGGGGTGGGGTTGAGGGGAGAGGAGGACCAGGGACCGAGCTAGCCTGCGCTTGGGAGGGATGGCCGGAGGGTGCTGATCGGAGGGGAGAGCACCCCCGTCTTGTAGGACAGAGCATTCCTGTTCCTAGAAGCTGCTGGCGACCGGAGCTCTCAGCCATCACCGTGGGACACCTGAGGGGCAGAGAAACTGAAGTAGCCAAGGCTTGGTGGTTTTCCTAAATCTACCTTGGTTCCTTTTCAGTTCGTTCAACGAGGGTATCAGTCCGTGTATTCAGTGTTGTCTGCGGCTTCCCTGTTTGGTTAGAGGGATGGGCAGAAGCTGAGCCGGCGCTGAGAGCGAGGCAATCGTGGAAAAGGGGCGTGGACGCAGAGCTGAGTTGGAGCTGATAGGAGGAAGTCGTTACCAGCTTCAGGAGCAGGCCCTCTGATTGACCTGCTTATCGTCAAGTTCAGAAGGAAACCTTGAAGCTGAAGGAGGAGGAAAAAGTTGCCATGCGTCACTCTTTTCATGGTCCTTAGACTCTGATTGTGTTTGTTCTTCCTTCTACCAGGGACTTTTGAGAACCAAATACTTCACATACCATATTACTGAATTCTCAAGACCACCCTGCAAGATGCTTTCTGTGATTCTTGCCTTTTCCCAGATAAAGGCAACAAGGTTTCACAGGTAAAATAACTTTCTTCACAGTAAATGATGCGGCAAGAATTCTCTATGGCTTACTCCCCAAGTTCTTTTGCCCCGCCTCTGAAGATAATCATCTATGCCCAGATATCAACGACCCAGATGCAAAAATGACCCCCATATTTATGCAGCAAATATGAACTTGTCCCTTAAACTCCATGCTCTCATTATCAAAATGCCTCCTAGATATTTCACTGTTGCATAGAAACCTCAAACAAAATATATCCAAAATCCGTTCGTCCCTATTTACCCCAAACTTGGTTTATCACATTTAGGACCTAATTTTGTGACTAGCACCAAGAACAACATAGTCAGATAAGCCAGAAACTCTGACTTACTCGGAATTTTTCTCTCTTTAAATCCTTATTTTCTATGGGAATTTACTTTGAAGAAAATGTTTTCCAGATGTATTCCAATGTAGAAATCATTTGCAAGGTAGAAGTACAAGAGTGAAGAAAATTGTAATGTGCCCACCCCTAAACGATTCTAACTTAGAGGGACCTGGATGCCTGGCTGCAGGAAAATCAAAAGGAAGAGTTGTGGGATGCTTTCCTCAGGTGTCAAGCTGACTAAGCTTCGATGCCCAGGATGTGGTCGAGCACTGGTCTAGATGTTACTGTGACAGTATTTGTTTGTGATTAACATATAAAGTAATTGGCTTTAAGTAAAACGGCTTACCTCCCACAATGCGGGTGGGCCTCCTCCACCCTCGTCTTTATGGTTTCTGGGTAGTAGAAGTTGTGTTTCATGTGGTCCAGGAGGCCTGCAGACTAATTGTTTCCTTGAGTCTCTGATTTTCTTTGCACTTCTTTGCTCCAGGAAAGGAGAGACCCATACGTAGTGGCATCTGAGTGGCCCTTTATGAGATTTGAAGACCTCAGCCACTACTCACCAAAATTGGTTGTCTGCCAATTAGTTGTCCCCAGAGACTGGTCCTAAATCCCCAAGTCTACTGAGTCATTCCCCCAAGGTCTATGGTGATGGTTAAGACATTTGCAGAACTTTGCCGCCTGCCTGCTGTACAATTTCCTTGGATATATGTCCCTATATTCTCCGCCATACCTGTGGCCTCCTGGACTTGTGGTCTACTGGATTTTGGACTTGTCCACCTCGACAATCACATGAACGTATTCCTTAAAATCAATAAATAAGTCTGCCTTCCTATTTCAAGCCCTTTCTTGGAATTTCCTCCGAGTCCTTTAGCCCCAAATTTCTCACCCTTCTCTTGGGGCTGCACATAGCCAACGACTGGATCATGTGGAGTTAAGAAGGTTCTAGCCTTCCACTCCACGTCTGAAGGACCAGGCCAGTTTCAGAGCTCCCTCTGTGCAGGGCTAAGGCCCTTTTGTGGCTTCAGTATAGCTCAATTTCTGCTCAATCTTCCCACCTTCTCTTCCCTCAAGTTTGACCCCAGAACCCACCCCCAAGTAAACGCCTTCAATGCCGACCTTCGTCTCATGGTGCAATTTCCCTGCTCTCGAAGTATACACAGACCATACATTTTGGACCACAGCAAACCCAAGCCCACGTACTATTTTCTTGGCCAGTACTTATGCTCTTCCTTAAATGTGCTAATATCTTGTTTTTAATTTTCATTTAGAATTGTACCTTTCACAGAAAACCTTTGCAATCTGAAGTTTCCAAAACTATCTGCTTCTCAGAACACAGCTTTATCATGTCCCAGAGCACCTTCTACTGGAAGGGACTCTTCCCTTTCTTCCGAGTATGGCCTCCTTCATGGTAGGGGTATGGTCATTGGCACATAACAAAAACAGTATAAGTGTTGAATGAATGATGACATGTTAAAATGCAGCATTAGAGGAAAGAAAGAAATGTAGACATTTTAAAATACAGCCTTTGAGGAAATAAATAAATAAATCCCATATTATCCTAATAGGGGCCAAGGAGCCATATGCTATTCCAAGTGGCATGGTCTTAGACATGTGAGTTGATTCTCTCTCTGGACATGAGACGGTCTTGCTAATGCATGCCTGCTAAGAGGATGAGGTTTGGTTTTTGTTTCTCAGCTTCTCCATTCTGCCTGGATGAACCATTTAAATCAGCTACTTCTTGGAGTAAAAAATAAAGGAGCTATCTACCTTTCTGATGAAAAGGTGGTTTATATCATGGTATAGTTAGGGCACACCAAAATAAGGGTATGATATGTAAGCGGAAATCCCAGAGGAGGTCTTTCTTGGAAGTGACCACTCTGGTCATCGTAGGCAATCCTTCTCTGACCTCCATCTCTGTGCCTGTAGTCCTAGGCAGCGCGGTGACTGTTGGTCAGGTCTTTGCCTGCTGATTAATATAGAAACCTTTAACTTGTGTGGTTCTGATATAACTTTTTTTTGCTCAGCTTTTTAAACATTTATTAATTTGAAAATATGAAAGCGATAGATACAAAGTATATAAATCACTCACATCTCTAGTATTATGACGTGTATTGCACTTCTAGTTATTCTGTTCAAAACCCACTTGTTCTGTTATTGGCTAACA